GGTGGGGCTATTCGATGAAAGGGCAAGCCTTATTGCCACTAATATGGGTATTACTTCTTCATTACTGGTCATGGGAAGCCTTGGCTATGCTGGGGGAATAAGCAGTCCACCCCTCAGGGTCCCCTTGAGGGTTAAGGGATAAACAACAAAACAGGGGAATACTGTGCCCATGGTTCCCTCAGGCCATTCAGGAATGGCACAAAGTCAGCCTTTCAGCCTTTCAGCACGGCTCTTACACCTTAAGTAGATAGCAGAAGGGGTTGGAGAAGGGGCGGAAACGAAAGAGCTGGAGGGAGAAAAGACCATGTAAAGTTAGTTGAGTCGAGGGCTGAGGCCCTAGGCAGGGGAGATCCCTGCATTGGGTCTAAGTCTCCGTCTCCTAAGCCTCCCCACAACAACAACGGGCAAGGGATTGAGGAAGGAGGTTTGGAGAGAGGAAGGGATGCATTCTGAGTAATTACCTGGGTGGCTGGTTCTGAATGAATAGAGTTGCCATTGAACAACGAAGAGGAAGTATTAGTACCAGTGATCTTGGCCGTGGTCAAAGGAGAGGCAGGGGTTGGGAAACCAGTGAGATCAAATTTAGATAGGCTAGTTGATGCAGGGGCAAGCCTTAATGCCCATAATAATGCAAAAAAAAATCTTTATTGGCCATGCCAAGCCTGAAATAAGTGGGGGAAGAAAGACTACACCTCATGGTCCTTATAGGGGTCCTTAAAAGAGGCATTTCATGACTGACGCAAAGCCAGCCTTTCATCCTTTCAGCACAGCTTGCACACTTTAGGAAGTGAACACAAGGAGATGAAGAAGAGAAGGAAAAGGAAAGGGGAAGAATGATGGAATGTAAATACATATGATGGAAGTTCATCCAAAATGCAGCAATATCCTTTACCCTGTAACCAATCATATATTTGCAATGAGTATTTCTAGGTTCATGATTAATGAAACAAGCTCAAACAAAATATTATGACAATATTTTATTACATATATTCACATAAGAAGAGACTATCATATATTCAATATAAACATTTGCAATCTTATAACATATTACTTTAAATAAGGCATGCTGATAAAACCTGAAAATAAATATTCAGTCACATATCACCACAACTGAAACCGTCAAATTTATAAAGCAAACGTATACAACCGGGTAAATACTCAGTTTTTCTATGAAAAAAAAAAATCAATAAAGAAAAAAAAATAATAATAACAATCTGTCAATCTACACTCACAAATGACTGTACTGAGTTGCACAATGACCTGCAAGAATAAGAAGGGTTTACAGATACTAGATTTTCATAATTTTCCCCCGTGAACTGGAAGCTGCATAACAAGTATTTATTTGTGCTAGAAGGAGTTCAGTAGCACAATCATAACATTTTTTTCTCTGCATCACAGAATTTCAAGAACAAATTTGAATAGGCTGTAAAAAAGTCTGTAAGTCTACACGCATAAATATATATCTATATATATCAATATGTATAGGTGAATAGGTTGGTAGACTTACTATGCACCACTCCTATAGTACACTTACATTATGTACACCAAAATATATTATTATACATTATACACATTTACTGCTAAATCAATTATGAAAAAAACAAGCTGATGGTATAGCATCCAATACTGCAACTTAAGACAACAGACATCCATACCATGCAATCTTTGAATATAAGTAACAGCTCAAAAGTAAAAAGAAAGTCTCCAGACTCCAGAAAGAAGATGCCTATTGTTAAAAAGACACAATGCAGTTTTAGCTACAATAATGAGCAAGTGGCAGATGGTGTAAATCATTACAAAATTCAAAAATATAACATATGTCTATAAAACTGATGTTTCACAAATATATCTATTTATGTACAGACTATAAGAAAGTGGGCTGAAGAATAAGACCTCTTCACAGATCAACCACCCAAACACACACGCTATACCTCTTTACAACCAATAATTATCCATATATAACTACATAACACACAGGTGCCGTAGGTAAGTGTTCCATGTCAGCGTGCTTCAGTGTGATGTGTGCAAGTGTCATATAGTAATAATAACATAGAATATTACTTAGGAAATAAGAAATATAGCACAAACTAGACTAGGACTTGAAAAGAATCTAAAAATAGTAGTTCTCCTTGCAATGCAATTGCAACAATTCTTTCCAATGATGTTCATCTTTATTGCAAATTATATTTTCAGTCAGGTATTTTCTTAACTAAAGGATCACCACTGTTTCCAATGTCAGTAAGTAAATATATTAAGTAATAGTTTCAATATCACTAAAATGTGCAATCAATATAAGTTTGCAATGTTACATGATCTTTTTGAAAATAATGTCATTCTTATTTTCATCCCAAGATATCAATTAAAAATTGAAAGAAGGCAGTAATAATAACTATGGGATAGATTAAAGACAGTAACTACAATAAAACAGAAAAAGGCCATTTTCTCATGTACTAATAACAAAACTTCCAAACTCAAATGATAGTGTAAAATTCATCCATTTCAGGACTTGAATAGGTGGAAACACCTGCATGAAAAAAATGACAAGAATGAAATCTGGACTCAGAACTTTTTCAAGCAAAGCATTTGCACATTTTATCTCTTCCGGCTTGCTTTCATTCCACAGGTTATCAGCACTAGGAAAATGGTACCAATAATGACTAATCATCTCTGATCTTGTAGTATTCTATACAAACAATCATATAAATAGTAGCTGCTACATCCAGAAATGATAAAACATCTTGAAATGACAAATTCATAAAGGACACTGTAACTTTGGTAAATAACCAAATGTAATATTTCCGGCTGCTATTATGAAAAAGGAGCTTGTTGGGAAGCTCATCTACTTATACATATTCAGTCTCCCGTATTAGAATAGATTTATCATCAGAGGATGCAACATTCTCCATACAGCAGAAATATTACAAGTTGGCTTTATAGCAGCAAGGCTATTATGACTTCAACAAAAGAACTATAAAAGGACAATGAATTAAGGCACTCACTCTTGTTTAAACAAGCCTGTTATCAGACTTGGCATTCAACTTTCACAATCCTTGCAGAAAAGGAAAAATACTGGCAGTTGCCTTGGAACATGGTATAATGACAGAATATTGAAAACTCTACTCTTAATCTAAATAAAAGTATGTACATATATTAAAACATAATGTTTGGAATTACCAGAAATGTTTGGATTCCAAATTCACTGGCAGCAGGACAAGCTACAATGAGCATAACAAAATATAGGTTCTTGTATTGCTCACCTCAAAACCTTCCATTCACAACACGTTCTGCTGATTTTTATGAACTGTTATTTAAGATTTGTTTACATATGTCCAGAAATCTCTCTTCATGTAGCAATCAAGTCCCAAATACTTCAAACAACAGACCACAAGAAATTATCACACATGTCTTTGGTTTAATGCCCTATCTTCCATAATCCAGGCTGAGGATGCAAAATGTTTGCACTAAATGCCTAGAGTACAAGTAACATTACTTTGTATGATATCATGGAATTTAGAGCTTTAGTGTTAGTGGACAAAATCAATTACCAACAATTCCTACGGTGTATGAAGAAGAAACTCTACAGAAATTTATGTATGTTGATTACAGTGAAATAAAAGCTTGTTGCTACTCGGTTTATAGAATTTCCAAGACACCTCATTTACAGTGCCATCCCAAACCCAAAATCTTACATCAAATAAGCAATTATATTGTAACGTGTTTCATAATCTGGAGCACCAGTTCAGGTAGCTATCATGGCCTAAACTCAAAAAAATTTATGTCACCATTGGCACTTGGTAGTGCATAGTAATTCATATCGAAAATATGTGTCCATATATATATACAGCACAAGTAGTTTTATGATCCTTGTCCCTGAATTGTGTATTGCTTCTCAATGACAAATATACTGTGAAAGTACTGTATACTACAAAAGATGTTTGGCACTAACTATCTGAATGTATTTATCAATCCTTCCTTGGTGCCACCAGTGGCAAAGTGTTCTCAAAATGCCAAAACCTCAATAGGAATCATGATATCAGTGGTATTAATTTCTTTACAAGTCAACTCATTCTCAGACTGTGTTACTATGCTCTAGCCTCAGCCCATTCTTTACCATTCCTTCACCCAAATTATAAGCAGTAGCTTGTCCATTTTGGTAATTTATCATCCACTGTCAAAACCTTTTGGAATACTCTCATGATGAAATTGCACCAAAAAGGATTTACACAGCCCTATTTGGAAGTATGATGTTTTTCTACTGAAGCCCTATCAACCTCTACCAAACATGCACAATCCTGAGCATTAAATAAACCATTAATATGCTAGAAGTCTTAAAAGAAATGTAAGCAATTTCATTATTTTTTTCTTTGCAAATTGACTGATCATCTGACTTTAAAGATTTTATGACCGCTTACGTACCATAATGATAAACTATTAACTATTGCTGGCTTTCTAATGAACATTAAACAGCAACTCATCTTAATCCAATGATCTGAATTGATTTCCATACCGTGAGCAAGTCATGCTAAACAAACGTTAAAATACATTACTAATGTATCACAAGCTTAAACATCATTAAATTTCTGTAATGCTTCCCGTAGCCGGTCAGTTACCTGTAAAGAACAGAAAAACAGAAATATAATTTTTTTTTTTCCTTAATGCAGGAACAACACATAATCTAAATGCCCTTCATTACTAACCCTTTCTAATGAAAAAGTTCCACTAATGTGTAATGTAAAACAAGCAAACACACACACACACACACCTAAGCACACGTACACACACCACACAAATGCGCACACACGCACACGCACACACACACCACACACACACAACACACACACACACACACACGCGCACACACACGCGCGCACACACGCGCACACACACGCGCGCACACACACACAAACACACACAAAGATATGGGGAACTATTCCTTTCCTTTGGAATCACAATTTTTATCTTTTTTTTATATCATCTTAGAAACAAATCCAAAGACCCACCTTTTGATAAAAGTTGATTTGTTCAGTGAGGAAAGAAGTCATTGCCTTCTTGAAGTCCCTGGTGCGTTCATCATGGAAATGTGCTACTTCTGCATGAAGGGCGTACGCAACTGTGTCAGAGCGCTTAATCATGGGAGGAACCTGGTCATAGTCCAACCTTCCTTCACTAGCCTCCTTCTCCACTTGTCTCCTTTTTGCTATTGCTCCCTGATAAGAAATAAGTTTTTACTGGGTAATAATTATCTCAACAATTTTGTTCAAAATAAATCTTTAAAGAATATTTCATTAATTCCTTGTGAGAAATTTTCTTAACCAAAATAAAGACAATGCTGACAGAAAACTTCAAACAAAGGCTTCAAGCAAACCGTTCCTAGGAGGGGGGGACACTTGGTCAAAAATCAATCCATTGAATTCTGTTGCTTCACGGCAATCACATGGACCAAATTACAAGCATTAGACTTACATAAGGGGCCTCTCTGCTAGGTGTGCTGCATTTTGACCAGATACCCACCAATACTCAGGTGTGATAACAAGACTCTATGCCTCCCCTTTGCAATGGCATTTTCTCTTTTTATGCAGGAAATTTATGCCTCTCCTTTACAATGATTTTCTCTTTTCATGCAGAAGTGGTTATAACTTTTTATCCTTTTTCAATGTCCGCATTTGCCTATTGATTTGCTTTATCCAGATAAGCTGTTTTCCTTGTACAGACTCCATATTATCCCTCTAAATAGTTAATAACTCAGTCAAAAAAAGTAACATTTCATTATCTGCATCATTTTAATTTTTTGTGTAATATTAAATTTTTTGTAATATAACCTGTGCCATCAGTCATGGTGGCTAGGAATAAAATGCTGATTATGGAAATGGTGTCCTTGTTGGAGCTGGCACTCTTCTGGTCAAAACAGATAGTCTGCTTAGAAAAATTAATTCATTTGAAATATCTATCTATTTTTTCCCATTAACCCACTACCGCCGGTATATTTTGAAGTCGAAAATAAAAGTTCCTGGGCGTCTCATATGTGGCACATCTGTCATAAATATGTTAAGGCCATTCTATACTTATTCAAAAAGAAATCTAAAAATTTGAAGATTCCTGCTCCAAAGAATTAAATTGCTCAAATTCAAATCTGAATTTCTATGTGAACTGTGGAAATGGCTCATAATCTAACACTATTTTACCTCAATTCTAATATTTTCAGAGGGGTACCATCTCCCCTTGGGGAATTAGATTAAAAAAAATATATATATATAACAAAAAGATTTTTATGCTCTATGATACACCACAGTGGTATCTCAAGTTCTTATTTTTTAAGCAAGCCTTAAGCACCAATTTTCTTGTTTCATCTTATGCAATCTTTATCTGATTTTGAGTAGTAGCAAAAATGAAACTGACATTTTAACCCCCTGATTGCTCTCTTCCTAATAGCTTCCTGCTCCCGACGATGGGATTGTTCACAAGCCAGAACTTGCAGCAAAAAACTCCATCCCTGACATTTTTTTTTTTAACTGTGCCAACATTTATTTTCACAAACAATTACATCTCTTAGTATGCTTCCAGCAAACAAAGTTGACTATGGCATCACTACATGCAATCTGCATTTATGGTAGATATTTTCCTTGTTACAAATTCACATCATCTACAATACATTGGATTAAGGAATTTATACATCATCCCAAATGTTTTCTTAGATCTGTTTCCCTAATATACAAATATCTATATTTTTGTTTTACATCATACAATCTTTGCATAATACTTTTATGTCTAGTTATGACCACAATTATAAGAAATAATGTATAAATGTTCATCCTACAGATTCCAAATTAATAAGGTTTATTCAGATAATTACTCCAGAGAGATTACAAACCTTGGTAACTGAGATGACACTTGGAAATCCATCTATCAGACCCTTGTACTCGAACAGAAGATTACACAAAGGATCCCAATCATGCTTTGGTTCTTCCTCAAATACTGTGCCTATATCTGCATAAGCCTCACTGACATGATGGATGGCTTCAGTCAGTCCTGGAGCACCTGCAAAGACAAAGTAAATATGCCTCTTTTTCATACTGACTTACCTAATATGTGTATATCAGTGTAATACTTTATGATCATATTTCTATTACGAACATGGTAACCATTAGCAACACTGTGATTTATATTTTACCAAAACTAAAATCTATTTAGACCCCTATTCACTTGACTATTTCAAAATGAAATCCAAGAATCTCTTATAAAAATTCAAATAAACAGTGAAATAATATGTTGTGATCCATAATTCACTTCAATAATTAAAATCTATTGGTGTTATGTTACAAAAATAAAATAGTGTCATATTTCAACCCAAATATTGATTCTCAATGCATTTATGCAAAATGAAATCAGCCTAACATTTTGCCCAACCCATAATTCTTACTGAAATAAAAATGCAACAACTAATACATAAACAGACCATATAAACTCAAGTCAATCAAAACTAGAAACACAAAAAGTTCTTACAGTTAGATGGATCTGTGTCAAATGCTCGACTAAGCTTGGAGAATGCATGTGAAACCTTGTTATATTCTCTCTTATAAGCTGTCTGATGCTTTTTGGCTTGGTCCAAGCAAGTGTTCTGTAGTAACTTCACAGCCTCATCCATATTGGAGAAGAAGCGAGTGTACCCTTCTAATTTGGCTTCCCTGTGGAGAGAGAACATATATCATTACAAAGGCACAAATCAACTATCTAATACATATCACAATGTCTCTGGATAAACTAGGAAGTTTGGTTGTTGGATAAAGACACTGCACTATATTGGAAGAATTGGTAGCAGTAACTGTAGTCACTCAGCAATACTTACGTCTGGATCATGTCCAAAGGTTGATCTGATCGCTCAATGGCCAGGTAGAAGTTTGCTCCAACCAATTTGTCATTTTCAGCTTTTCGCTTGCCAGTTTTCCATAATTTCTCATCATTTGGACAGGTTACAAAATGGTGGAATACCTCACACTGGGCTACTACTGGGTGACGACAAATTCGATCTATCCAAGACTGCAACATTGTCATTCTGTATTCAATTAGATCTTCCTCAAATCGACCTGCAATCAAGAGAAAAATACCAATTAGCTATTTATCTGTAACACTAAGACTAATATCAAGAAATGGGACTAATCTCTTTAGTTCGCTGAGGCAAGTCTATACTTAAAGGTGTATTTAATCTGATCTCAACATTAATGCAAAAGTGGCATGACTAACATTCTACATTACAATCAAAAGATGATGTCTAGCATAAAAGTTACTTCTAAACAGCAAAAGCTAAGAGCACCAAGGGAAAAGGGAGCAACAAAGTTGCCATCACATTTTATGGAATTACAGATTCATATTAGTATTTTCGTGGTAAGAGAAGTAAATTTTTTATATTTACGTTAAGCTTTTACTACACTTAATCAACTAGCTTTAGGGGCTATGTATCCCTTTGTGTCATTTAACATCTTGGGACACCGGTGGTATGAATGAAGGGGCACCACTGAGAGGGTTGAGAGAAGACCATAAGGTAAACCATCAGAAAGGTCAAGGAAACACTACTAGAAAGCCAGAAGGGCCACTGAAAGAGCAGGTACTAATGGAAAGACTGAAGGGCTGCACTTTAGACCAGTACCTAGGTTCTCAAGCGACCTTCATCCAGCTCAACAAAAATCTCTTTACACTTTATCAAAACAATTCATAAATACAACTCAATAACAAGATCAGAGAAACAAACTGCAAAAATAAAGTGTCAAATTTCATTAAACAATCAAGTGTTGGTATCAACTTACAATAAAACTGTGATTATTAAATTCTTTTTTTTTCTGAATCAAATAAAATATGAAGCATGTAACAAAATGAAGACAACTCTACCATAAACATGTAAAATACTTAAAAAGAATTAAGACAGACACCTGCATTTCACAGAAGGGATTCAGAATCCTATGCACTAATGCTGCCCAAATTTAGAAAATGAGAATGAATATCTTCACAGTGCTATAGATGTATCTGACATATATACATGTACTTCTGAGAAGATATGACAAACTGAGCAAATACTTCTCTTGCACTGAGAAAATATCTATTCTCTGTAAGGCTTCTTTCTACATTAATTATTCCCAATATACACTTTTTAACTTAACTTTGTCCTTACCTGATATCTGTTTTTCTGGAAGTGGTGGTATTGGTATGAGAGGGAACTTCTCACTCAGTCGAGCTTGTATCCAGTCAAAATGTTTGTACCTCCTTGAAACTGATGTTGAAGAAAACTGGAAAATAAATGTATAGATGTTGAAAATTACTAAAATTATACTTACTACTATCATACTCTGTGGCAATATTTCACAAGATGTGGAGAAAAAAAAAAAAAAAAAAAAAAAAGTTTCACCAAATTATCACATTTAATAAAAATTATATATCACACAAACCAATATCACAAAAAGGAGAGTTAGACTACTTAAGAACATTCATTGTAATAATAATTCCTTACATATCACAGATGATTGTCATATGAAAGAAATATCCTTGCAAGTCTGTCCCAACACAAAGTGGATTTAACTTACTTTGACCTAGATTTGGTGATTTTTGACCCAATGCCTTTATGAATTTGTTTTAACCACATGTGTCTTATAACATTATATTATCAGCTGTTTGAAATTATTAAGTGTACACCATTTCTTAGCACAATGTTTTATATCTTTTGCTTTGCTGGATGGGAATACTACTGTAAGACTTTCTAGTTAAAATGTAACTACTCTTGGGAAGAATAGCAGTGCAAACTAAATACACTAACAAATATTATCTATAAATAA